TATATATATATATATATATATATATATAAACATAAAATGGTCCATACAACTCATATACTACATTACAAATCTTCATATATCAGCTTTGTGTGAGGTACAGTCGAAATTTAAATTATGCCCTGACAGCTCTTCTCGGCACATTCTCAAAACTGCAAAAATACAGTATATATAATATATAATTTTGGATCTCATTCACTTTCATTAAAAAGTGTCCAAAGCTATTCTTCAAAACTTTTGAGTTCCTCAGAAGATAGAAAGTTATGAGGGTGAGTAAATTAGGAGAAAATTTTAATTTTTTGGGGTGAACTGTTCCATTAAGTGCTCGCTGTATGACCCCAGAGGCAGCCTGGATCAAATAAAGCCATATAGAAACCTGGCACGATGTATGATTATGTTTATATGTGTCTGCCAACAAGACAGATTCCTCTTATAATCTAATCTCCTCCATTGAACCTCAATTGCCCTGAAGACTTCAACTCCAAACAGGTGTCTTTCCTGAACAGGAGAATACATTATTCAAAAAAAGCTATGCAAAGTAGCCATTATATTTGACTGAGTCATAATGAAAATCCCATCAGGCTGGAGGGGGTTGTCGATCTTGACAGTCGAAATACACACTCGGCTCCAAAGCCAGACTGGTTTGTTAGCAGGCCAGATCTCATTCTCCTCAACAGAAAAGACAAAAAAGGAGGGAAAATGGGAGATGTTTAGCTGACTCCAACCTGAGGTTAAGTTTCTCCGGACACAAAAAAGAAAGCACATGAAAAGACGCTTCACTCAATGCACTTGCTTGTTGTAAAGAGAGAAGAAGAGAAGCTGGAAAGTGTTTTTGATAGAGAAGAAAGGACCGTGGCACGCCCTTTTGATTCTTCCTCACAATGCTGAAATCAGATAGCTGTCGCCTCAGGGTCGAGCTCGAGATGTTGCATTGTGACTCCTAAAAGACTAGAAGAATAGCTTTTCTCGCAATTATCGTTGTTTCTGACGGCGCGGGCTCCCGAAGCGGGATTCACTCAGACTTTTTATGTTGAATGTTCGGTTCACGAAGTACTCAACCAATCACTGCCTCGTCTGGCTGTGCGCTTGTAATCAATACCCTGTTTGAAGGCTTTTTGGGGTTTGGGCATCAGGGTTTAAAGTACACACCGGAGAGCTTAAAGGGGTTTTGAAGCAGACAAAGCCAGAGAACTCCACAGGTCACTGTCTGGAAAGGAACAAAGGCCTTCTTTGGGCATTCGTGCAGACACCGACCTGGAGGTGGACATGCTTTAATGGACAGGGCAGGGAGAGAAAGAGACTTAATAAAGCACATAGGTTCCCGCCGTAGGGGGTGTTTCTGTCTGACTGACAACCCTTTAAAAGGCTTTCCTCTTTAGTGACAGCTACGCTTGAACTAAATTATCTGCAGTAACTGACCAAAAGCAGCGACTCTACAAACTTGACATTTTTTCAGTAGCGTGACAATCTTTCAATTATTTTTTTATAGAAGTGTAGCTACTTTTTCACAAGAAGCTAGAAGCTGCACTCCTGTTCAAAAGTTTGGTGAGAAAATAAAGCAATAAGCCCCAAGAAGCCGTGGTTTACAGTGAATTTGTAACAGCTAAGGGCCGTGGTTAGGCACGACGCGAAGCTGTTATAAATTCACTGTAAACCACGGCTTCACGGGGCTTATTGCATTTATAAAACGGTTATTCCATATACGTAGTAAGGTTTCACAAAATAAAACAGAGCAAATAAAGTGTAATGATATTAATAAAAACAGTATTCTTCCACCAAACAATGTAGTTCCTCAGAAACAGTTGTGGTTCCAACAAAGTGGTTGCCGAGCAACACACAAACGTAAACAAAGGCGTATATTTGTAGAGTAATTTACAACAGCTTCGAACCAATCAGAATCAAGGACCGGAACTATCAGTTTTATAATGAATATTTTTATTCAGCAAGGATTAATTAAATTGATCAAAATTGACTGTAAGGTCATTTATAATGTTACAAAATTATAGGCTATAATTTCAAATAAATGCTGCTCTTCTGAATGCTCAATTCATCAAAGAACAAAGGAAACAATGTAGCACAGTTTCCACAAACATATAAAGCATCACAACTGTTTGTAACATTGATAATAATCAGAAATGTTTCTTGAGCAGCAGATCAGCATATTAGAACGATTTCTGTGGCATTGAAGACTGAAGTAATGGTGCTGAAGATTCAGCTTTGAATAAATTAAATTTTAAAATGCATTACCATAGAAGACAGTGATTTAAAATTGTAACAATATTTCACAGTATTACTGATTTTATTGTATTTTAAATCAAATAAATGCAGCCTTGGTGAGGATAAGATACTTCTTTCAAAAACATTTAAATGTTAGTTTACATTGCTATTTTTAATGTCACATTATATTATATAGTATATCAGATAGTGTTATAGTTTGAATCCTTTTGGCTCGTTCGGAGAGATCAGTTTAATATTAATCACTTTAATCTGGATTATAAACAATTCAGTGATTCATTTGAATCATTAGTGAGTTGCACGGCTTGTCACTCTATATAGAAAAGGTTGTTTACTTTACTGCTGAATGGAAAGTTATGTGCGGTAATATAATAATTTTTGTTTTCACACTAAATTACAAGATCGTTGTTTGTTTGCCAGTTAGATACAGGTAAGTTATACAATCTGATAATTATGTATTATAAAAGGATTATGCCTCTTAAGCATACTGTAAATATTTAAACATCCCATGAACAATAGTTCCTGTATGAATAATTATTTTTGAACACTTGATTCAATGATTCATCCATAAATACAAGTCATTTGTCGCCACCTACTGCTGTAGCGATGTAACATTCAGAAAGAGTCACTTAAAATCGCCACAATAATGTTTGTTCGTAGCCTCTGTTGTAACAAACTACTTTTTTTTTTTTAATTGGGAAAATAGATGTTGTTGAACTACTTTAGCTCAAATAGTGTGTGGTTTCAAAGTCGCAGTGATTTTAACAGTCTGTCTTTCTTCCACAGGAACCCAGATGGAGATGTTCGGCCATGGTGTTATATCGCAGATCTCGAGGACGGGATCTACTGGAAATACTGTGATATTCCCACCTGCCAAAGTAAGCATTAACATAGAAAATAGCATAGAAACTATAATGAACAATGAGCACAAGTTAAATAAGGAACTAGGCCAAAACATTTGAAGTTCCCATCATCTGGATTATGAAAACTAATATGCAAAACCACATTTTTGGAAAGGACTCTAATTGCTCCATCAAAAAATTACACTGTCCCAGCATGCACAGATACGTTTGTTTGTGGTACTTGTTATCACTTGATGTTTTTGCCTTCTCCACCCAGAGATCGTATACGAGAGTCTGTGTGTGTATTGTGTTTACCGCAAAGCATTAGATTGAGAATTAATTTGTCTTAACCTGTATTCAACATTGTTTCATATAATCAGTGCAGAGCTTTCTTTCTTTCTTTCTTTCTTTCTTTCTTTCTTTCTTTTTCTTTGTATTAGTGAATAAGTCTTTCTGTGTGTGTCTCGTGGGCATGTATGTGTGTGCATGTGTATACGAGTGCAAACTCATTTTCCTGTCAGTCAGATTTGTATAATCCCACTAAGTGTGTTTTTTACTGTACTGGCAGAGAAACAGAATGTGTGTGTGTGTGTGTGTGTGTGTGTGTAATCTGATAGCCCCTGCTCCTCAGTTTCATCTCACTAATCACACCCCATAAACAAGAGCTGACACATAGTATCACACGATGGGTAGAATAGGAATACAAAACTGAACAGCTGTGTCATACACCAGAAAACAGTCTCAGTAGTTAGAGCTCAATCTGAAGTTCTCCCAGCATATCATTCATGACAAGTAAATGCATAAATTAGGGCGGTCAATTTAACATGTTCATTTAGCTCAGTTAATTAGGAAAAACAATGTATGCATTTAATGACCACTGGAGCAATTCATGCTTGATGTACCACTTAAATTGTTTCAGGGGTCCATGGTTCCAAAGTTATATTCCATAATATGATGCAAACAAAAGTGTGCCTGTGAGGGATGGAAAGTATAGTCAGTTCAAAATTTTGTTTTATGGTCCTACAGTAATTCAGTTTTGTGGTCATTACAGTAATTTTCATAACCCTTTTATTTTATTTTGAAAGACTTACACTGTCATTCAAAGGTTTGAAGTAAGATTTTTTAAAGAAATAATTTTACTTTATTTTATTTTGAAAGACTTACACTGTCACTCAAAAGTTTAAAGTAAGTAAGATTTTTTAAAGAAATTAATACTTTTTTTTCAGCAAGGATGCATTAAATTGATCAAAAGTGACAGTAAAGACTTACAAAGCATTTCTATTTCAAATAAATGTTATTTTTAATTTTCTATTGGTCAAAGAATCCTGAAAAACTTGTATCAAAGTTTTAAGAAAAATATTAACGCAACTGTTTTTAATTGAGTATAATAAGAACATTGATATTAATAAGAAATGTTTCTTGAGAGCATCAAATCAGCATATTATAATGATTTTTCTGACACTGAAGACTGGAGTAATGACGCTGAACGTTCAGATTTGCCATCACAGGAATAAATTTCATGTTAAAATATATTAAAATAGATAACAGTTATTTTAAATGGTAATCATTTTTTACAGTATTACTGTTTTTACTGTATTTTTGATAAATAAATAAATGCATGCATGCATGCCTTGGTGAGCATAAGAGACTTCTTTCAAAAACATTTTTAAAAACTTACCAACCCCAAACCTTTGAATGGTAGTGAATTTTCAAGATTTCATTGGCTGAATGTTCAACTACATGGATGAATGCTATACTAAAAAGTATACTAACAGTTTTCTTCAGAAAAATCTAGTTAGGATTGGTAGTTGATGGCCATCCATCAGTTTGATGTTGTTGTTTTTTTCAGTCACATGTACTCCATCTTAGTTCCATGCTAGTTTGAGGCCTGCTTCTTGAAGTTCTATAGCCCATCTCAGGGTTTTGATGCGTGACTTTAGCTTAATTATCCTCCTTCATCTCCACATTTTTAAAAACTTACCAACCCCAAACCTTTGAATGGTAGTGAATTTTCAAGATTTCATTGGCTGAATGTTCAACTACATGGATGAATGCTATACTAAAAAGACTGCACTTCTATTCCTTCCATCCTGGGTGTTTTTCAAAATCTTTCATATTAACCTTTCCTAAAAATCATTGAGAACACATTGAAACTGCATAGCATTTTCACATAACAGTTTTCTTCAGAAAAATCTAGTTAGGATTGTTAGTTGATGGCCATCCATCAGTTTGATGTTGTTGTTTTTTTCAGTCACATGTACTCCATCTTAGTTCCATGCTAGTTTGAGGCCTGCTTCTTGAAGTTCTATAGCCCATCTCAGGGTTTTGATGCGTGACTTTAGCTTAATTATCCTCCTTCATCTCCAGTTGCACAAATAAGAGCCGTACTCACTGTCCAGCACAATTACACTCACTGACCCATTTCCCAAAAGTGCCATAAACACATTAATCTGTCTGGATGCCTCTTATCTCTGCGCCTGAGTGGAGCTAACAAAGCCCCCCCAACTAATGCCCCTCTAGGCTGAGACTGTCTTCAATGGCAGGCAAATTTAGGACAGCTTTTGTCACAGCCAGTTGTCTTCTGTGTTAGGCTCACTGATTTGAGTCTGGTTTACCGTAAATGTGTTTGTGTGTACCGGCTTGTAACCCATCTGATTTTTTTCATGTCCCAGATTCCTGTCAGCTCTCAGGGCATCGCCCATATTAAGTACAGCCCTCCACACGCTGCTGTTCCGGCTTGGATATCATTAGATGGGTCTTGGGTCTTGGGTGGTACCCTAAAGCCACAATGCCCACAGTGTTGGCAATGAAAGCAAGGCGATTTGTTGGACTTTTTAGCTCCAGGCAGTCGTTATGCTTTAAAATCAGAAAGCAGTCGGTGCAATTGTAGCATCACAATCGACACGCGTACACACACACCTGAGGCTGTTTCACTATTTGTTACGTGGGATGAAAGAACAGAATTTTCCCCGATCGATCAAAATGACACTTATCTTTGCAGTACATATGAGAGAGGTAGATTTTCTCCCTTGTTTGTTCTATTTAGGTGTTGTTTTGTTCTCTGAATAACAGTAACCTGTCTTAGATGTCTTATCATGTTAACCGTCTGTAGACTTATTGTCTCTTTTCCAACACACACAAACACACACACACACACACACACACACACACACGCATATTTATGTATTCTTTCATAATATCAAGAAAAAGGATGTAAAATAACTACATAGGACTTCTCGTCTATAATGGAGGGGCTTAAAGGAACACTCCACTATTTTTGAAATAGGCTAATTTTCCAACTCCCCTAGAGTTAAACAGTTGAGTTTTACCGTTTTCGAATCCATTCAGCCGATCTCCGGGTCTGGTGGTGGCACTTTTAGCTGTAGCTTAGCTTAGATCATTGAATCTGATTAGACCGTTAGCATCTCGCTCAAAAATGACCAAAGAGTTTCGATATTTTTCCTATTTAAAAATTGACTCTTCTGTAGTTACATCGTGTACTAAGACCGACGGAAAATGAAAAGTTGCGATTTTCTAGGCCGATATGGTTAGGAACTATGCTCTCATTCTGGCGTAATAATCAAGGAACTTTGCTGCAGTACCATGGGTGCAGCAGGCGCAATGATATTACACAGCGCCTGAAAATAGTCCCCAGCTAGGTAACTTCCAACGGAAGGCACGCTCCCTGTGCGTTGGTTATGTTGACGGAAGTTAGCCTATTTTCAGGCGCTGCATAATATCATT